CAGATGCGAAGTAATACCAGACCATATGAGTAGTTTTGCTCTCATGGGTGTCAAATCCCATGCTCTTGAGGGACAATTCATGTTCCGCAAATTTGTCAAGCAACACAGCCTATACATGACGTGTTGCTTGACTTGTGACATCATCTTGCTTAAACCATATATTTCTTACATCTACATCTTCAATTTTAGTTTTAAAAAAATAATTATAAAGAAAATTGTCGAGCTCTGTCATACTTTCATAAACTCGAAATTCTTTTAATTTCATTAGGGTAGCTTGTAAAAAAAATTGCTGCCAAATCTGAAGTTATAAAGTCAAAGGTTGTCATTCTTTATAAAAGAATAATCCATTTTCTGTAATTTGAATAATACTTCAAAACAGTTAGAAGAGCAATAGGACAAATTGGGATTTGGAAAAAGCGTTGTCCAAATTGCACCAGTCACGGAAAAAACTTATGAAAAATTTTAAAAAGTAATACAAGGCTGCGGGAAAAGTCATCACCCTTTTGCTTTCAAACTGAACGACAATTGACATCATATTTAGAGACTTGTCACAAAAGGAAATTAATTCTGAAATTGCAATGCGAAAACGTTTTAAGTAGAAGAGATTTGGACAAAATTAATACTGGCATCAAAAAATCGGATATAAAATATTTGATGCGACTAGCTGACTACTACAGTTATGTAGTAGTTAATGGTAAATTGCTCTATTTGGAAGAATAATTTATTTAATTTTTTTTTGCAATATATAACTATTATTAATTGTGTAAAATTGAGTTTAATAAGTTATTGTCTAATGATTTGTTACCGCTATTTGCTCAGAAGCCTTAGAAGTTCTATATGATATGGTAATAGTTATTGCTTGCTTAGAATGGATTGAAAAATCTTATTTAAAAAATAAAAAATTGTTTCAACTTAATAAAAAGAATAAAGTATCCTTTTTCTAATGGAAGTTTTTATATATTGTTATATATGTACATTTAGTAAATCTTTTGGGATTTAAAAATGGTTTGATCATAGTTGGTTGGCATTAATTTACTTTTATAATAAGTTTCTGAGTATGAAATTCTTACAAATAATATAAAACTTGCTTTTATTCAATTATAATTATTAGAGCTATTGAAATTACATATATTATTATAATGTTGTCAAACATTATTCGAGTTATTCGAAGGTTTAAATTCGAAAATATTCGAATATCATAAATATATATATATATATATAAATATATATACGTGTTCATATAAAACATAATCCGGACAAAATAGAACAAAACCAGATTTGTTGAACGAATAGCTTAAAAAATTCCGAAAACTTGAAGTCCTTGATGCAAATACTCATATTCCAATTTACTCGAGTTTCTTGGATATCGTAATGCTTGAGCACTTCGAAGGACTGATCAATATAAATTATTTTTTCAATAATACTGGCTAGATTTTAATACTATTTTTGGATGCTCGTTCATTTTCCCACTAACTCATGTATATTTGTGTTTGAAAATTTAATTTAAAAATAATATATATATATATATTTAAATATGAAAACTTAATCAAAATTTACTCTGCGTGTACACTAGCTAGATTAGCCGAGTAACTAGGCGTCTACTAATATCAATTATTTATATGGAACAGCAAATTTAAAAAAAAATTAAATTTTATTCTCAATATATAATATATTCACGGTGTTTATTGTGTATGCACATTTTGCTTTTGAACGTTCACTTTCTTTTGATATGATTTTCAGTTCCTTCGCTCAATAACTCCTGAACTGTTTGAGATAGTAGGTTAAGGTTTTACCGAGTAGTTCATATTAGTCTAGAAATGGTTGCTATTTAAAATGAATGTGATTAAAGCAAAATTACGCTTATCTTCCATATAAAATACAAAACTGTCTTCACTATGATTTTTTTTAGATAATAATATTATCTATGATTTAGATAATTTAGATAATAATGATTTATTATCATAATTATCTAAATTATTTATTATCTAAATAATGATTAAGATAATAATACTTTTGAACTAAATATATTGTTGCGTTGTGACAATATATTTAGTTCAAGAGGGGCAGATTAAGAAGAACCATCCTAGTCTTAAATATATAGAATTATTTTAAAAAAGGGTCACATTAATTTATAATCTAAATAGTGTATTTTATTTGCAGTATTATCTGCAATTATCTGCAAGAATTTAATTAATAAATTGCATACTATCGCTACTTATTATCGCTAGAAATAAGACTCTGATCTGGTATCGCAATGGACCTTAATGGTTTACGCGTGGCCTTTATGGTCTGCCAACATAACATAACCTAATCTAATTAATAAATTGATGTATTAAAAATAGTTATTTCTATTTGTTTTTTATTATTTTTTTATTATTAATTTATTTAATCATTAATTATTATATTATATTTGTAGGTATATCCACATGAATGTCTAAAAAGTGGTTAAGAATAGTTCTTTAATTATTTACCTCACACAGCTTCTTTATTTCATATTCAAAATTTGAGAGTAAAACTGAAGAAGTTTAATGCGATACGAATGCGGAACCTATGTTGTCAACACTCAATGGAAATGGATTGAGCAGCAGTTCTGTTTCATATAGGTATTCTAATTATAGGTGAAAAATAAAAACGTCTATAATGTATAAGATAAGTATATTCAGTATTATTAGGTATCAAATTTGTAACAATTTGGTGATATAAATATTATTTAAGTTGTAGAGTTGTTCTAAATTTTACATTTAACATTTAATATAAAACATTTAACAATATGTATGTTGTGTTGAAGGCTTTTACTGCCATGGCTTCGTTTTTTGTTAGCTTTTAACTATAAGCCAATGACTGTAATGAATAGTAAAATAAACAAAAGAGAGCAAAATCAAAATAATAGGTAGACTTTGTTCTTGTGAAACTATAAGAGACAAAAGAAATGTATAAATAAATAAAATATCGTAATACTGTACATAAGTTTTTTTTGTATAGTATTATATTGATATTCAGATTTAATTTTTTTAGGTGAAATCTGTGGATTTTTTGAATACATCAAACGCTTGATTGTTATAGAACGAACTTTAAAAACTATTCGGAATCGTAATTTAAATTTAACTCAACTTAGCTTAAATTTCGAATTTCCGAATCTTATTGAACGAACTTTAAAAACTATTCGGAATCGTAATTTACATTTAACTCAACTTAGCTTAAATTGACTTAACTTAACTTAACTTAACTTAGCTTAACTTAACTGAACTTTAAAACTAAAAGTAAAACTAAAACTAAAACTAAAACTAAAACTAAAACTAAAACTAAAACTAAAACTAAAACTAAAACTAAAACTAAAACTAAAACTAAAACTAAAACTAAAACTAAGTGTTAAGGTTTATTAAAGAAGTTTAATATATGTTAGGGTCAGAGCCTAAAACTAAAACTAAAACTAAAACTAAAAACCTGTAGTTCAGTGTTAAGGTTTATTAAAGAAGTTTAATATATGTTAGGGTCAGAGCCTAAAACTAAAACTAAAACTAAAACTAGTTCAGTGTTAAGGTTTATTAAAGAAGTTTAATATATGTTAGGGTCAGAGCCTAAAACTAAAACTAAAACTAAAACTAAAAACCTGTAGTTCAGTGTTAAGGTTTATTAAAGAAGTTTAATATATGTTAGGGTCAGAGCCTAAAACTAAAACTAAAACTAAAACTAAAAACCTGTAGTTCAGTGTTAAGGTTTATTAAAGAAGTTTAATATATGTTAGGGTAAAACTAAAACTAAAACTAAAACTAAAACTAAAACTAAAACTAAAACTAAAACTAAAACTAAAACTAAAACTAAAACTAAAACTAAAACTAAAACTAAAACTAAAACTAAAACTAAAACTAAAACTAAAACTAAAACTAAAACTTAAATTAGAGCTCAGTTGAATTAGAGAGTTGTAGAGCTCATTTCTAAAATTTAAAAGATCATGAAATCAAGAAAATTCGTCAAATAAAGCGATATACCTTTCAGTAGTTTAGTTATTATTTTGTATTTAGGATTTTAGATATGATTTCAGCGAATGTTTCTTTTTTATCTTTCTGTTTTTTCTTGTGATATAAGAAATATATATATAGAGCAGTCAATTATAGAATTATATCATTCGTTAAATCGTGAAATTTAGCTTTTATTATATTGAATATCTATTGGATTTGAATATTATCTACATTAAGTCGCAAAGGCTATAATGGGCTGCTCATGTAGTAAGAATGGGACCGAAGAGAAGAGAAGGCCAAGCAGGATGTACAACGCAAAGCCGATGACAAACAGGGACAGAGGTAGACCAAGAACAAGATGGAATGAAAACGTGTATGGTGATAAAAGAATTTATTGGTGTACTCACACTGGACTGTAGTGCCAAATAAGAAGAAGATTATCTATATGTACAAAATATTATGAGATATATTATAAACTCTTCGATAAGGTAGTTCCATATCATATGTCAAAGCGAATATTTTTAATACCTAAAGCATCACTAATATCAACCATTTGGGTGAACTTCAGTATAGCTATGATATATAGTATAATGAAACTTAGCAAAAGCTAACAGAATATAGACTGTGACTCCAATTTCAAACTTAAATATGTTAATGATTAAAATCTATATGAAATTGTCAATAATTGTATATCTTATGAACTTAGATCCCGTTTTTTAATAGCAGCGAATATTTACTATTACTTGAGTTTTAATTTAATTAACCTAAAAAGCTTATTTAAGAATACTTAGACATACGAAAGTGTTATGGATAATCGATATTTGGTACAAAATGTTGTCCAAAGTCACAGATACAGAGTATTTCTGAAAGCATTAAAATCGATTGTCCATTGTAAGGTTTCCTTGTCAAGCGGTCATGCGGTGTAATTTCGTTTGCGGAATTTTTAAGATTCTAGTTGTAATTTTGCAGCTATTAAAGCTGCACGTTAAGCTACTTGATTCCTTCTAAATTTCGATTTTGAAAGTGATATAATTCAACATAAAAACATAGTTAAAGGAGCTAATATTAGAACATTACTTATTTAAAAAACAAAGGTGCAGCTAAATACATCAAAATATTGTAATTTTTTTTATAAATATATATTAGCTATAAGGAAGAATTGAAAAAAATTTCTGCATTTATAAGTGAAAAATATCGGAGACAACTACACTACGACAGCTAATTTTTTCAATCAAAACAAAAATGTTCGTACTTGAATTGAGTTGAACGTGTTCTAAATAAATATAAAAAAGGATAATGACTGAATAACCAATCATCAATTTGAACTAATTTAAAAAAATTTATAAAATTACAAATGATTGTGGGTTACTAAGGAAATATAATAACTTTCTTAAGATCGTGTTTTTTTTATTTGAATTTTATTCTTCATTTACTTTTATGATCAGTTGTCATATTCGCACTATGTTCCAGTCCACGTCAAGGTGTCCCAACCGTTCCCAACTAACTACCATTTTGTAATACAGTATATAGTCCTCTCATTTAGAAGAGTTTGCTTTCACTTGATAAGGACTAAATTAACTGAAGTGATTTTAAAGTTATCGCATTGAATGTAAATATAATTATAAATATATTATATATTTAACTAATCAATTTTGTGAGTCCAAACATTTGGGATGTATCAAAAAATTTTACTCAACATAAAATGCTTACAGTAGAACTCTATAAATCTTTCAAAATTATTGTGAAGAATACACCAAAACGCTTGGACTCCAGGAGAGAGAACATGGAAGATATTAAAAAGTACAACAAAAGTTCTATTAAGTGGATCCTTTCAGAAAGGAAATTTTCTACTTTTTACATTTCAAAATGTTTCTAGTCCCCAGTTTTAAATATTTATACAAATTACCTTCTGTTAAGTAGACAGCTCTGTTAACCGGAGAGAAATTCTGGTATCGTTGGTTCTACTCTTTCGATTCATTATTTAATTATTTTGTTTGATGTTTAAAGGCGGTTTGTTTTTTGATTTATTATAAGGCTATTTCCTACAAATATATCTTATATGAATGTTTAGTACGTTTCAAGCTTCATTTGCACTAATTTCTCAATGCCAATGAAAGGAAACGGAAGAAAATTTTGTGAAGAATTCCTTTTAATAAATATTTTCTATAGATAAATATCTGTGAATTTGTTCTTTAGATTTATAATGTAGTCGCATTTATTAAAATAACCTGCATAATGTTATATTTTTTAACACTTTTTCAAAATTGGATCAATTTATTGTAATGTCAAATCTTATAAAGACTCTTCATTCCTTTAGCTACTAATTTAGCTGCTATTGAAGCAGCTCTTAAGTACGGGTGATATTATTGCAGTCTTGGTGGAACAGATATTTAGTCCCTAAAAAGAAAAATGTAAATTATTTTTTCTTAACACAATAATTTACAATTGTGTCCTTAATACAATGATTTCATTTTGGAAGAGGTTTTACACAGTAGTGAATTGCAACAACAAACATTTTTTTAAATTGATTTTTAATTAATTGAATTTTTGGCTGACCATACAGATGTTTCGGGTATTGCTAAATACCTATGAACAGAGGTCTTGGAATTATTTCTTATATTTTATTATTCGTAAATAATTTTTTGAGCCTGTAAGTACTAAGGGTTGAACTCGTACCCTACAAAATTTCAAATAACATGACTGATATAACTAAATAAAGGGGCTTGAAGAAAAAACTTTAAAGGGCTTAAAGAAAAAACTTTTATAATATTGGATTAATAAATGCTTTAAAACGTTTATTTCTATGGCTTGCAAAATGTGTTTTATAAACCTAACCAACCCTAAATGAATTGGATCTAAGGGTAAACTAACATCTAGACAGCGAATTAGTCTTTGATGTTATTAAAGTTGACGTAACATAAGATGATAGGAATGACAAATTTTTGATGAAGCTGAACATTTGTGAGACTATGCGTATTTGGATAAAAAATTTTACAGAGTTTTGATATCAGAATTTGCGCCTGTTTCCAAAAGTGAGATCTAAATAGCTAATTAAAGATCTAAAGCAATTCATTTATATTTTTTGCCTGTGTATTTTGGGTCCAAATGAAAATCCGCGGGTCTTACATTTTCTGTTTTTAATTTGGATACTATTTAATTTAACAGCAGTTGAATCTGAATCTTGTCTATTACTGGACATCAGACGTTTTGTAATTTCATTTAAGTTAATTTGTAATTAATTCGATAAAATTTCAAAACTTTTGTGATTACGTCGAATATATGTATGATAGTTCGAGTAGGTTGAAGTGGGAATTACTAAGCATCCATTTATGCTTATAGCCCAATTGTGATATCGTATAAAAATTCAGAATTTGCATTATAATTAGTACCAAGTTTTAAATTAATTATAATTAATTATTTAATTAGATTTTTCAAAATACAGTGAATAACCTACGAAATCTGTGCTATTGAGCAGATGATCAATGCAAACACATTTTTTTAGTTAAAACAGATCATTTAAAACAGTAAAAAAAAAATAGTGATCCATTTTTTCATTTTAGTAATACAGTAAATCCTTTGAAAATGTACTTACCTTACGCGCAATTACCAGATCCAACAAATAAATTTGAAATTTATGAGGAAATTGCACAGGGAGCCAATGCTAAAGTCTTTCGTGCGCAGGAACTAGATAATGAAAGGACTGTTGCCCTAAAAATACAACATTATGATGATGAACATCAAGTCGCAATAGAGGAGGAGTATCGAACTTTACGTGACAATTGCAATAGTCCTTATTTACCAGAGTTTTATGGTGTCTATAAATTATCTAAACAACATGGACCGGATGAGATTTGGTTTGTTATGGAGGTAAACTTATTTTATTAAAATATACTTAAATGAAAACTAACCATAAAGTTAAATATTTACTGAATTAGGTTTTTGGAGTTCCAAAAATATTAGAATTTACATATACATGTATTCATATACGTATAGTATATGTGATTGAGATAAAAAATTAAATTTTTTTTTTAATTTTCTTATCAATTATACAGTTTTGTAGTGGTGGATCGGCAGTCGATATGGTTAATAAATTACTTAAGCTGGAACGTCGTATGCGTGAAGAGCATATTGCTTATATAATACGAGAAGCTTGTCGCGGTGCTATAGAATTAAATCGTAATCATGTACTTCATCGTGATATACGAGGTGATAATATATTGTTGACCGATGATGGACGTGTTAAGCTTTGTGATTTTGGGCTATCACGGCAAGTAGATTCGACTTTGGGTAAACGTGGTACATGCATTGGTTCACCATGTTGGATGGCACCAGAGGTTGTTGCTGCTATGGGTGCAAGTAAATATCAGAAAATTAAACACATAAACATAAACACATATACAATTATTTTTAATTTAGAGGAACCAGAGATTACAACAAGAGCTGATGTATGGGCTCTTGGTATTACAACAATTGAATTGGCTGATGGTAAGCCACCATTTGCTGACATGCATCCAACTCGTGCCATGTTTCAAATTGTCCGCAATCCACCACCGACTTTGATGCGACCATCCAATTGGTCACAGCAGATTAATGATTTTATTTTGGAGTGCTTGGAAAAAAATGCAGAAAATCGACCAATGATGGTGGAGATGGTTGAGCATCCATTCTTAACAGAACTTTTTGAGAATGATCAAGAGGTATTTATTTAACAATTAAATGACTTAAGGATAAATAAATTCTTTAGAATTAGAATTCTTCATGTATACTGTTGTATATCAGCCTGTTTTAAGATTTGTAGATTACATTTGCAGTATAAATCAGGTCTTGAATTTTTAAATATATTAAATAATATATTTAATGACTTAGATAGTTCAGCAATATAGAGAGTCTTATATTTTTTGGGCGTTTTACAGATAGCAACTAAATTTTAAACGTCGGCATAGGTGGAAATGATTATAAATTGTAACAATGATATTAAATATGGGATTATGAGATTATTATGGGATTATGCTATTACATTATGTGATGTAGATGGAAATCTCTTGCGAAAACTTTTTCTGATGCCTGAGAGTTTTTGAAAATTTTGATGTAATATTCGCAAACAAAAAAGAAAAATTGGTAATTTTAACGAAGTATCTATTCTTGAATAGATAATCTTTTATATATATTCTTTAATATATACTCTTCAATATATATTCTTTAATAGATATTTTTAAATATATATATATTCTTTTATATATATTCTTTAATATATATTCTTCAATGTATATACTTTAATATATATTCCACAATACATATTCTTTAATATATATTCTTCCATATATATTCTTTAATATATATTCTACTATATATATTGTTTAATATGTATTCTTTAATAGTATATGTTCTTTAAGATGCAAAATGACTTCTTTGCAATCAATTTTTTACATTTGATTTAGAAAACATTAAAATTTTAGACATAGACATAATCTAGCAGTCTTTGTGATTAGAGAGATATGCAATAAGATAAAGCTTAAGTAAATTAATTTTAATATTTTTACTTAATTTAAGTGAGCAACTTAAAATAAATTATGTTATGTTTTTTAATTTAGATGCAAAATGATTTACGTGAGTTACTGCAATTTTGCAGTGAAGTTAAATATCTTTACAAGGAACCGGAAATTTTTGTCGATTGCGGTTATATCAAGAGATTTGATGCAAAACCAGAAAGAATGTATCCAGAGGACTTAGCAGCTATAGAAAATCCTGTTGAGGATCTTATTTTAGAATCACTAAGACACCGCATTGAGCTTGGTGGTAATTACAGCTTTATAGGAGACATTTTGCTCTCTCTTAATTCAAATAGCTTAGCTGATTCATTTTCTGAAGAGGTAAAATATTAAAATAAAGTAATGTTCTTGCAAATAACTTAATATATTTGACTAGTTTCACTCCAAGTATAAATTTAAGTCCCGTTCTGAAAACTCACCACATATTTTTGCTGTGGCTGATATTGCTTATCAAGACATGCTGCATCATAAAGAACCTCAACATGTTATATTTTCTGGTGAAAGTTATTCTGGCAAATCCACAAATGTACGTTTGATGATCAATCATCTCTGTTATTTGGGATCGGGCAATCGCGGTGCTACTGTACGAGTGGAAAACTCGATTAAAGCTATATTAATGATGGTAAATGCGGGTACTCCGATAAATAATGATTCCACACGATGTGTCATGCAATACTTTTTAACTTTTGGCAAAACGGGAAAAATGAGTGGAGCGGTCTTTAATATGTACATGTTGGAGAAACTACGTGTATCTACAACGGATATGTAAGATAGGATTCATAAACGAAAAAAAAAACAATTACCAAATATTTTTCTTTTCAGAAATCAACACAATTTCCATATATTTTACTATTTTTATGACTTTATAAATAAAGAGGGTCGACTTAAGGACTATTCTCTTAAGCCGGAGCGTGGTTATCGTTACTTACGTATACCAGCTGAGTTCCAACCGCAAAAGCTTAGATATGTACGAGATGATCCAATAGGCAATGCAGAACATTATAAAACGTTTGAAACTATTCTCGAGGACTTGGATTTCAATTACAAACAATTGGAAACAGTTCGCAAGGTCTTGGCGGCCATACTTAATATAGGCAATATTCGTTTCCGTCAGTCGGGAAAATTTGCTGAAGTTGAAAACACGGAAATTGTTTCACGTATAGCTGAGTTGCTGCGTGTGGACGAAAAGAAATTTATGTGGTCTTTAACCAATTTCATTATGGTAAAAGGTGGTATAGCGGAACGTCGTCAATACACCACAGAAGAAGCACGGGATGCGCGTGACGCTGTTGCTTCCACAATTTACTCGCGATTGGTGGATTGGATCATAAACAAGATTAATATTAATATGTCATTTCCGAGAGCAGTTTTGTGAGTACAAATACAGTGGGTCTCTTTTGGTTATATAAAATAATCAAATTGTAAATTTTTGTTTTACTGTTAGAGCAATTATATTCTTATATTCTTATATATTATATTCTTATCTTATATTATATTCTTAATTGAGTGATTTAAAAATATATATAAGTACAGATGTTTCCTAACTAATCAAACCTTTATTTCAAAAACAGAAATTGACGTGAAACTTTATATCAATATCAAGATATTGCAAACATTTTTTTATATAGAGTTTAATGTAAACTTCTTGTTCGAAATGGATGTTAGTATTAGACTTAAGTAATACTAATTCAGGAAATTATTCTTAGATCCAAAAAACAAACAAAATGTATGTAAGAGTGTGGTTTCATACCAGTAGCTAATAAAAACTCTAGCTGAAAAACTGTTCAGACAAAAAATTCAGTATCTCAAATATGATTTATCTAAATTCTTGATAGTATATACCCATTTCAGTCCATTAAAAATTGTTCTGCTATTAATTGAACTGTATTTCTACTTTAATGGATTTGGGAATCAAATTACTCAGAAAATATAATTTTTCTTCCATCATATATAATTCTTTCCGATAAGAAAAGAATCAGAACATTTGCTAAATATATAAGTAATAATTAATACATTTTTCTAGTTATGAAAAAAGCAAGAGCAAATTGTTATTTAAAGGAAGTATCTTTTAATCATTTTGCAGTATCGTTCACACAATTAACACTCTCTTCCATAAGTTGTTTTTCGTTTCTCGGACTAAGAAATCACCTCTTTAATTCTTGTCAATTTGGAAACACACTGTATTTATATATAATGTTTTAATTGTTTACTTTCAGTGGTGATACTAATACAATCATTCTACATGATATGTACGGGTTTGAATGTTTCCATCGAAATGGATTGGAGCAATTAATGATTAATACCTTGAACGAACAAATGCAATATCACTACAATCAACGCATATTTGTTAATGAAATGTTGGAAATGGTTAGTGTAATAATCAAAGTAAATTAGAAAAAGAACTTCTTATGATGACTTTATTCAATAGGAAGCTGATGATATTCCAGCTGTTAGTTACAATTTTTACGACAACAAAACTGTATTAGATAATTTATTGACTAAACCAGATGGTCTTTTCTATATAATCGACGATGCATCACGTACAAGTCAGGACCAGGATTTAATAATGGGTATTTCATCAAATCATAAAAATATTTTATATATTATATTCTAAAAACTTTTTGTTGCCCTTTAAAGATCGCATATCAGAGAAGCACAGCCAATTTGTAAAGAAGCACACTGGTACCGAAATTTCAGTTGCTCACTATACCGGTCGCATTATATACGATACACGAGCATTTACTGACATAAACAGAGATTTTGTGCCACCAGAAATGATTGAAACATTCCGCTCATCGTTGGATGAAAACGTAATGCTGATGTTCACCAATCAGCTTACTAAGGCCGGCAACTTAACAATGCCCTTTGAAAATGTGCAACACAAATCTGAGGACATGCAAAGAAAATCTTATGTCAGTGCAAGTAAAGTTCAATTAGATTGCATTAATTAATACTCTGATCTTACTAGGCTCTGAACACCCTTTCGGCTGGCTGTATATCCCAAGTGAACAACTTGCGTACATTAGCTGCCAACTTTCGTTACACTTGCTTGACATTACTCAAGATTCTTAGCAATGGTGAACATTTAGGAGTACACTTTGTGCGTTGCATACGAGCGGATCTCGAATATAAGCCGTTTGGCTTCCATACAGATTTGGTTCAACAACAAATGAAGGCTTTGGGTGTTTTAGATACCATTATTAGTAGGCAACAAGGCTATTCAAGCAGAATATCATTCCAAGATTTTCTTAAACGGTACACAATTTTTATACGATATACGATTTTAGTGACTAAGATGTTGATACATGAATTTTAGATATCAGTTTTTGGCTTTTGATTTTGATGAAAATGTTGAAGTAACGAGAGATAATTGTCGTCTTTTGCTACTGCGTCTGAAAATGGAAGGTTGGGCTATTGGAAAAACAAAGGTTTTCTTACGTTACTACAATAATGAGTTTTTAGCACGGTACGTTCGTATTGTTGTTATTATAGGATTTACAAATAATTGCAATGCCTATATAAAAAAGTTATCTATGTGCATATGTACTTCATTTACAGATTGTATGAAGTTCAAGTCAAGAAAGTCATAAAGGTGCAGTCCATGATGCGTGCTTTTGTTGCTCGAAAACGCGTTAAAACTGGCCCAGGTGGAGAAGGTAAATGATTTCAGGAAATTATTTTATGTTTGTTGATATATTTCAATAAGCTATGCTAAAATGCAAAACTATTAAATAAGAAGATTTTTTTTTTAAAAATAGTTTGAATAACCTTAAGCATTTGCATATTATTTTGATGCTTAGAATCATTTTCGTTAGTTATAATTAATGCTATTTGGTAAGACAGATCATCCAACCTAAAGTTGTATTTGGTTCCTTCCCATAACCTCTTCTTTTGAATTAAGTACTGATTAGTATCGCAAAGAAAGCGGTATTTCAGCACTAATTATCAGGAGAAGGTCCGTAAATAGCAACTAATGTAAAAAATTCGTTATTTTCTAAACACATATCATTTAAACTTATAAATATTGGACAACAATATATTTTATCATATTTTCATCCATATAAGAAATTTAATGATCTAATGTATATTGTTTTCATTGTTAGTAAATGTGTTTTTTTTTTTGAAGTTGTGGCGCTATATCTCTACAATTATTGTATAAAAAATTTGTAAGAGTACACTAATACTAACATAAGTTATTGGTTCAAATACCAGTTCCTATGATTTAAAGTCAGAATATATTTTAAGGGGATTTTCTATATCTTTAGCAACTTAAGTTTTACTAAATATAAAAATAAATATGATTCTAAAATTTAATATATATTGATTTTCCAGACAGATTTCACAATCGTTATCAATATGTTAAAAACACATATATAGATTGTTATTTTTTTGAATTGTAAATTTATTTGAATAGTGACAGATCAAAGTCTTACTGCTCTATTTAATATGAAAAATATATAAATTAGAGCAATTTGAAAAGTATCCGTAGTTTCTTATTAAATTTTTGAAAAAAATATACTTTATTGAAAATGAATTTTAATCAAGTATATATTGGCAATTATTTTGTTATGACCTCTCACCATTTTTCAGGTAGTTTCATAATCTGAACAGTGTAGGATTTCTGTTGTTTATTGAAAAAAAGTTGGTTAAATAATTTTTAGCAGCTCTTCGGTCGGCACATTTTTATCATTACCAATAATTCCTCATGATGGAATCACAATAACAGATTTCAGTTATTATAATAAAGGGTTCTGTAAGATGATTATTTCCGAATAAGTGAAGAAATAATATCTGAATATTATTGCAGCTTTTTGACTTACATAAATGATAAGATTTGAGTTTTATGTAAAACTTATAAAAAAAAAAATATATATTGTCATCAGGACTACACATATTTTGATGATAGTATAAAATTAGAAGAATTGAAAATACATACTCACTATAATAGATACAGTTCCTTGTGTTTATTATTTGTTGCCGTATCTATAAAAACTACTAGCGTCAGTCATTGTAGTCTATTATCATGAGAAGCTACCACAGTTAAAAAATATGTTCCCTACCTTCCAGAATCACTTCTTATTTTTTATGCATGTTAATTTAATAAACATTATAATGTCTGAATAAAAATTTTAGTAGATTATTTTTAAAACAGATTCTCAAAATGCCATATCAATTTTTGTCTGTTATAAAAACCTATAGATTAGAATTAGAAATAAACAGGGTACCAGCTGCCAACGGAGCGAAGCACCCGGAATCTTAAAACCATTTTTTAACCACAGATCTAGTTGTAGACCAACTTAATCTACAATATGGCTCCGGTCTACAGAGTTGAGTGGCAGATCCAGACCTCGCAATATTGACCGCAGACTTATTACCATTGATTCCTGTGTGACCAGCCACCCAGCAAAGCATCACTTTATTTTTGCTTGACAGCTGCTGCAACGTGTCAATGATAATCAATAGATATCATTGATAGATAATCAATTATGAAAAAAGTTGACTTATTTAGAGCTTTAGTATAGATTATTAATATATTTTTAAAAAAATGTGAAGAAATTTTTATGTAGGAAACAATAATTCTAAAATGTAACATTGAAAATAAAATTCATTTCATTACATCAAACCATTTAGACTGTTTGGCTTTTCCATCAATTCTATATAGTGTAGCATACATATCTCATATTGTTAGGATTCGATTGGTTACAGTTTATATATTTTTATTATTTTATTATTATTATTATTGTTTTATTATTATTTTATTATTATTTTATTATTATTATTTTATTTATATATTTTAGAAATCTCTATTGATTGTTGATTTTAATATTGTGTTATTTTTATTAATGATCCTAAGCAGATAGAAATCCATTTGATTATATAAAATTATATAGGTTTCTTCATCAAAATTATATGGTGTATCGCATATTTCTCATATTTTTTGGTTATACTGCTGAAATGCCGAAATTAGTATTCATTTGATTATATTGAGCCATATAGGCTGTTTATCTAATCCATCAATTCTATTTAGTGTGGCACAGATTCCTCATATTTTTAGAATTAGACTACTTACAGTTACAGTTGACTGTTATTTTGTCTTTAATAATCTTTATTGTTTGATATTATAAACTTGTTGTATTTGTATTAATAACCTTAAAAAGATTCCATTGCATCAATATATATAGTAGTTGGGCCATAATGATACTATATTAAATCTATTATCTTTCATAACCTTTTGCAATTTGTATGGCAAGCAGTAATAATGTTGTTGTATTTAATTATATATAATAATTTAATTATTATATATAAATATATATTTTAATATTAGTTTAGATTCGTTAATTAACGAGTAAACTATCATATTTTTTTTATTTATTTAAAAGCTAAAGGAAAGCCTGGCCGTCAAAATGATGCAGCATTCACAATTCAGAAAGGTAATAGTGAAGATTCCAAAGTAGATTACGATGTAGAATATATTGAAACTGACGAAACGCCATCGGAAGTTGAAGAAATATTCTTAGCCGCTCGCAAGGATGAAGCTCTTGCAGCAGCACGAATTGCTCAAGCTGAGCAGACACTGCAAGATGAAGATTAACGCGTGAATATATTCATAAAAAAAAAGCGCTTGCTGCTGTTCTATTGAAAAGTGCATTTTCACATTATCGAATACACATATATATAAATAAAGTTGTTGTTATTAGTGTTAATAAATAAGCGTTTTTGCTTGAACATGTTAATTTAGACTGTAAGTCATTTTCAAATATAATGATGCCAACAAAAATGAAAAATGAAAATAAACCTCAAAATAGAATATATCTGAGTTATGCATCTTAAAGTAGAAAGCCAGCTTTTTGACATTGTATCTGCTGTGTACAATGAAAAATATACAATAGTTCAGAATAATTGAGTCAGTACCATTACCACTTTTAACAAGGGCCCTTATTTGCTTCACTATTGCGATAGTTCTTCATAGTTCTGTATATAGTTCTGTTGTATATGTTCGTAGTTGTATAACTAGCCGAGTGAATAGATTTATTTGAAATTTCATAAGTAAAACACAGAAAAAGATAGAAATAATAATGTCGACATTGAAATAATCGAAAAACATTGAGTATATAAAAAAATATAATTAAATTAAGGTTATAGACATATATGTAACACTTGCAGCAAAGGGGCCGTCACACAATTGCGTGATAATTCCTTGTCACAATTGCCAATTATGTGGTATAAAGCTGAGATGGCATGTGGCTTCATATATCGCCCACAACATTTATCAATTTCTTTTTGACACTTCTTAAAATAACATTACATTTCAGTGCGTTTTTTATATTTATATTACAGCTTTTCGAGGCTTCCGTGAACGACAACGCTACCATCCCTTAGTGAATGAGAAAACGGGGCAGGTCAATGAAGAGACTGCAGATTTTATACGCCACTTTGCGAAAAAGTGGCGAGAGAAGTCCATGTTTCAAGTGCTGTTGCATTACCGAGCGGCAAGATATCAAGATTTTGTTAATCTATCTCAACAGGTAATTACTTATTAAATTATTTTATTATTATTACATGCGAATTAATTATTATTTATTAATCGTGTCGTAAATATAAAGCTTATAAATGTGTAAAGATCTAATCTAATCTGAGACATTGCGTGATTTATCATAGTACATAGGTCAAAAGCATTGGATAGTCATCAAAAATTGGGGGTAACAGTCTACTGGAAACTACATTAATAGTTTCCAATTTTAATCCATGAGACTTTATTTTTAGTCTTTTATTAGATAATATGAATGTATAAGTATTTTTTTTCATTTTTTTTTATTAATTTTTAATAACTATTAACTTATTATTTAATTTATTAAATATTATTTAAATTATTATTATTATTATTTAAATTATAAAATAACTATGATTCGATTTTTGTAGTCTTTTGTTTGATATATTATAAGTGACATCGTTTAATCTGTCTTGCATCTACCTTCCTGTATGTCTGTGTGTTAGTCTGTCCCCTTCTGTGCATACCATTTACTGAGCTCTGATTTCAAGTCAGATCTAACTTTTTATACACATTGTTATACTAGGAGTCTTGGACTTGATATAAGTTTATGGTGTGTGAATTTATTAATTTCTAATAAATATAATAATTTCAAAATATATTTTATCTACCTTCTTGAATGTCTGTGTGTTAGTGTGTCTACTTTTATGTATACCATGTATTCAACTTTTAGTCCCAACACAGATCAAGCATTTTATATAGATTGCTATACTACGAGTCTTAGACTTGATATAGTTAGTATGATTGACTATTTAACATCGCTGCTAATTAATTTACGGCGTATGTATTTTGTATATTTCTAATAAATATAATAATTTCAAAAATGGATTTAATAGATATTATCTTATCTTCATTAAAGTGTAATAGGCTTCGTTTTCGTTGAGGTATAGGATATTATGCAAGACTAAAGGAATTCTCTTTCATTTCCAGACCCTAGCCATGTGTCTTTGAAAAAAGAAGACAGTTGAAGTTTTTATGAGAATTCAATTTCTGATTTATGACATATATTAAGTTTAAATTATTTTTGTTAATAAAATATGATAAATTATTTATGTTGAGTTTTGGAAACATCATAATTCTTTAATGATTGTATCACCTATTTGTACTTTTGCTTATAGATACATTTATATAATCAACGTGTAGTAGCAGGTCTTAACAAGTGTACACGTAACGTTCCATTTGATCGAATCAATACACGAGAAATTCATTCAAATCAATTGGGTCCTATGCCAATGCCTATGAAGAAACTATGTTTTCGTTTGGATCAAATTCCATTCTACGATACTAAATATATGGTAGATCCGGTAAACTTAATATCACGTCAATCATTTCCAGGCGCTTTGTTATCACTTGAAGACGAAGAATCTTGGGATAGTCCTTTACAAAGAAATCCTTCCATGACATCCTGTCTACTAACTTATAATGCATATAAAAAAGAACAAGCATGTCAAACCAACTGGGATCATTTTGGTGAGGATGATCTCATTTACAATCAGAATTTCTATCGTGATCCACAGTTACTGCGAAGGTTATTATAATTAATTATAAATGACATGTAAAGAAATTAAAATATTTTATTGTAGATCTCAAATGCAGAAGAAAATGAATTCCTATAGTGTTTTTAATAGCCACCACAACAATTATAGTAATCAAAATTGGGGAAATCGAAGTGGTTCTCGTCGAAACTCCCTTAAAGATTATGCAGCACCACCACCACCACCGATGCCTGATAAAAATAGATATCGGCATGATTCGGCAATTAATACAAGTCCAAGTTATAAGAATCGTTTTTCTTTTACACCAACAGATCACGTACGTGAACTAAAAGATATGGAGCGATACTCTAGTAATGCGGATGTAGGTTGTGCAACAAAGAAATTGCTGTATATAAATATATTATTCATAATATCATTGATTTTGTTTATTTTCAGAATTCTGATGATGCACCTTTCAACTTTAAAGCAATTTTACGCAAAACGAATTATCAAAAACCAGCGTCATCAACAACCTATAAATTCAATAGTCGTATTGACTCCGAAAATAACGATTCATATAGTAGACAGCAACCATTTCAGAATGTGAAACTAAATCCTATAGGACGACGATATAATGAGAATGTTAACAATTCTTACAATGGTGTCGCACAAGGAGAAACGATGACTAGAGAACAAAAAAAATTTGAAAATAATAATGCAAAATCATTTGAAGAGACTGGGTCATATGTAGAAGAAGAAATTGCGCCTGGAGTTACCCTATCCGGATATGCTGTTGATATATAAATCTTTTCCAATTGATCAAGTCTAACTAACTATTCATTCATTAATGAAAATATAAATATTAATAATTGTAATAAATATAAGAAAAGAGTTAGCTTGGGCTTTGCCGAAGCTTGAATATTCCTCACATTCACATTGAACCAACAACTTAGTATTAAATTACTTTTTATAGAAATTTTAAAAATTTCAATCAAGTTATACAGACATATATTTATTATGTTAAATCTAATAAAGGAAATCTTTATTTCAATCTCGATCAATGAGTGTAGTCCTTGGTAATAATTTATGATGCACTAAACACTAATTTTTAAGGACAGGTCTTTAGATCATGAAAAATATTTTTTTGTAAATGTATCATTGAATCTGTTTAAATCATATTGAAATCTGATCGATGTATATAAAATTTAATAAAATCTTAAGTAATCTAATATTTCATTAATAATGATAATTAACTGCTTCTCCGTTTGGTGTTCTTTGTGGTCCATTACGATGTACACTATGGACGCATTTATAAAGAAATCTTCTATAAAAATTTATTTGATATGTGGACAAATCAAAAGACTATTGTGTTTCTAACGTTCAAGAAAAAACATGAAACATTTTAAGTTCAGTCCTGGATGCACCATTCGATGGGTCCCTATTACATAAAATGTAAAATTGTATATATTATGAGCAAACTATTATTAAGTTATTCATTTAAAATAATCGTTTTCTAAACATACCATATGTGGTTACTGAACTTATGTATGTTGATGGAACGAATTTTCACATTTCATCGATTACTTCTATTTGAAGTGACATTCAGAAAGAAGTGAAATAAAGAAATGATATGCTGGATAAAAAGCCCTACTCAACTGTAAAAAAGTTTTTATCGAATTTAATTTTTTTTTTCAAGTAATATCTGAATAAAAATTTAGGTTTATTCTGAAATTGTGAGAAACTGTTTGTTGTAGTATCGGCGACGTTGGCAATTGTCGACACCTTTACATCTAAATGGGCCTCATAAAAACTTTTTATACCATATATTAAATAATATTTAATTATACACACATGTTTCCTTAGAAAAAATATACGAAAAAGTAATACAATATAAAAAAACTTAGAATCTCATTTCAATATTTATTTTTTATTAATAAGTATTTATTCTTAGTTAGGAGAGCTATTCTTGTTTTCTGATTTCATCGATTGTTCCCGTATTTAAATAATTCAATTACTTTTCCGTAAACTATACTAGAATGTGGATAATGCAATTGAGTTTAAATTAAATATAGTACTGGTATACTATAAACTAATTTTCAGTAAAATTATAAAATGGAAGTTTGGGATTCCTCACACTTAGAAAAATAGTTCAGTTGGTTTAACTAGATTTTTAATTAAATCTCAGGTCAAAATATTTTTACTCGACGCATAATATTGGTTTAACCATACCACATAACACAGGTTGGTTTTTATATCTTCTTTACCACATGAGCCAAAATTTCTCTAACAAAATGATCAGGTCAATTTAATTAGAGGTTAGAGCATATTATTCTGAGTGTATGTCGGCCACATTTAATAATGTGAGTTTTTTTAATGTTTATCATTATTTGATAAACAATACTGTATTCATCTATACATTATGCGTTTTAGCGTATAATTGAGTTTATATAACGTGTTCCTTTAAAGCCCGGGAAATAAAACAGATGTCTTAAACCAACCAAAATCCATAGTTGGTTTAGCACCGCCATTGGAATGTTTCAGTGGCACAACGATAAATGTCTGAGTTACAGCACAACAATGATGGCTTCTAAATAATATAGAAGGTAGTGGTCCTAGTATATGTTTTAGACTTTCTTAATCTCTTAATTGTAAAGTCAATGTTAGTTTATTTTATTGTAAATAATTTTGAAAAAATTGTATACATTTCAATAAATATATTTCTAAGTCGAATCTAAAAATTTTCTGACATTGAATAGTACAGTTGTATAATAATCAATATAATTTTTATTTTAATTTTCTTTGCAATATTTTATATACTGATGATAACTCTAAACTAACTGTCCTGCCAATTTTCACAAGAGTGCTGAAAAATTACTATTGCCACAAGGTGCTTCTATGGGTTCAGTAGGCAATTTGAAACTCTATCTATCGACCAACACAACATACGTTCTATAAGTTGCTCATCCTATCTTCTGTATATCGCGGAAGTATCATAGAATGATGAAACAGTACTGTGAGTATTTGAGACAAAAGTTTTTGGAAAGATTTTTGGCCCTCTACCATTAGGCGACGTGTACAACATTGGAATAAAACACAAGTTGTACGAGCTTCATCACAACATTGACATCATTCAGAGAATTAACATCTAGCAGCTTCGCTGAAGTGGTCATGTGGTTAGAATGGATGATAATACCCTGGTGAAAAAGGTATTTGAAGTAGCAATTGATAGAAGAAAAGGTATGAGAAGAACATGTCTCTGCGGGAGTCATCAAGTTGAGGAAGCACTGAGCGTGCTTGATGCATGAAACTGGATAAATATAGTTGATTTAGCACCACCACTGGAATGTGATTAAGGTTATGAAGCATAAACGCCTGGAGGAGAGATGTACATAAGATCGAAACCAGACGAATGGTTGTTATGGTCAAATAAGTAAGTAAAGTATAGACAATGGAAAATACAATTTTTTAATATAACCAATAACCAAATATTATTTTCTATGAAAATAATGTACCGCGTATCTGACAAGCATCAAAAATTATATCTTAACAAATCTTGGTTCAATAGCATTGACGAAGAATACCGCAGTAGTGCAGTTTGCGACTTATGGGAAGAAAAATATATTTATTGGAACTGTAGTAGACTTAAATTTATTAAGGACACATCGATAAAAGAAATATGCTTAATAGATAACTCCCTATCGTTTAATATATATAATACCAAAAATTATATTTATTATTTATTATTATATTTATTATTTGAAAACTATTTCTTAAAAAATCTAGTTAGTTTCTATTTATTTCTATATCCATTTCTTAATTCAAAAACAATGAAGCAAACAATTTTATAAAGAAGTAGCATGATTTTTTTGGTATAATTATTTCTAAAAATTTTTTAGGTTAAGTTTGGGGTTTTCAATTTTGCCATTAGGTTTGCATAAGAATGCAAAACAGTAAAATATGTTCCGAAATGTGCAAAATAAAGAAAGAATATGGAAAACCAGATAAAACTGACAAGTCTAAGAGGGAACAGAAGAACAAATTTGAAATACCAGTATATGGGGTAGACGTTGCTTACGGTTTTGGTGGCACTGGTAGTTATATCGACAACAGAAATTATGAAGTTCATCATTTGTATGACTGGCAGGTATACAAAAACTTTAATAATGCAATTAAAGACTTCGATGAGATGGACGCATTAAATAATGCCTCTTATGATACTGGCAGCGACAATGACATGATAAACGACATTGACTATGAAATTATCTATGACGCAAGTAAGTAAAAAGGAAATAAATTTTTGATTTTAATATAATTAATATTATAAATAATAATATTTAGAGAATTATGTGTTAGACAATTATACACACATAAATACTTAAGTTAAGAACTATATTAATACACTTTAAATTATATATAATATGATATATGATATACATAATTTTCATGCAGAACAATCAAATTTCCGATAAATAACCAACCTATCTATGATACCTACGAATGTAAGTTCTCATATATAAAATCTGTTAAGATAAGTATATAAATTTTTTTGATTATTAGGTGAAGAAAACGAATTTGTGAAGTGCCATGTTTTGCTTTAAACTTCTATTTAATACAATCAGTAAAATGCGGAGAAATAGTTATATCTCACACTTTTAAGAGTGCTTAGCTCATCAGTTACACTGCGATTCTTATGCAATACAACAGCGTTACGAATGTCCTTCTCTAACAAATTTTCATATGTCTCTGTTTCTCATTTGCGAATTAAAAATACGAAGTGTTAATGGAATTGTAGTTGAAATTTTAACCTTTTTTTTTATAATGGAAAAATTGGGAAAGTAACAACGACCTTTCTTTGGTTAATAATTTTTGACTTTCCCTATGTAACATTTAGGATTAATTAGAGGAATATTGGATATTCATTGAAAATGGTAAGATTATCCTGTAGTTATATTACAAAAAAATGTTCTTCCGGTTATTATCATATCCTTCATATATTTCATATATTTGTAAAGGTTCTTTTCCACTTAACATAAGTGGTAAAAAAAGCGACCATCACTATATTTTAAATACTTGCAAGATTCTGGAAGTTGGTAGGTATACGTACAACAGTTCTTTTTTGTGTGGAATTAAATCTGCAATAATACATAATACATCTGCTATAATACATAAGATTTATTACTCAAAATTTATTCAAAATAAAAAAAATCTTGAAGTTTGAAGTAGTGAACAAGTCAAATTGTGTTCTCTTAGCACCTCAAAAAAACTTTCTATATTCATCATTCATCATTTATCATATTCATTATTGTTAAAAATATATTCAGCATCTAAATAACATTTATATGATTGTCTCTGCATTAAAGGAAAACTCCACTCATTCGCACTTTCAAACACAACTTGATAAGGATTTCGGATACTCGTAATTTGCAACTTCGAAGACATGCTGATACAGGCTAGATCAACTACAGCATTATGGTAAGAAAACATTGATATTTTCTAAATATTTTGTAATATTTAAAGTTATATAAATATATATAGTTTTCCATGAGTCAACACTTACTTTCTGAAGCGGTCCCTAAAATTTGAATAAGACATCCAAACTTAACTAAAACTGGTGAGAATTATGTTATTTTTTCTCTCTACATATTTTAATTACCATTAATTATGTATTTTTATTGATTTTAGGGTTATTTGTACGGAACTATGGTATATAAAAGTAAAATGGACTGATTTAAAATTCTCGGTTATATTACATATATAAAATTTACAAGTTTAAATAAAATATTTATTAAAATGCAATAAAAATCTAACCTAAATTATGTGTTATATGTATTTATGTACGTATGGACTTATAGAGATTAAAGAAATGGAGACGTTTTATAAAGAAATGTAAGGTGCAAACTTAGTTTCGAATATATAGCAAAGTAAACTAACAATTGAAAAATACAATAGATTGCATTAAATTATATCCATTTGTTGATCAAAACAAAAGATATTCACAAGTTTTAGATAGAAAGTGGATCTTACCATAAAAAAATTTCTTAATTAGATTCTGGTCCTCATTGAACTCTAATACAATCATCCATAACATCATTTTCATACCGATTTGTTGAAATCAGCTTAATAAGTTTTTACTACTGTATGGATAGTAGTCGCTGAGATTTAAATCTACCATATATGACTCTAAGTAGGGAAAATTTCAAAATACATAAATGCATATAATTTCGTTACCGTTATGATCAATTTGTGACATAATGTATTATTCTGCTGAAAGATAACTGTCTTCTTTGACACACACTCTTGGTAGGTTTTTCCTTTACTTCACTCTTCAAACTCATTCATAATATTATGAATATTACGTTATTAGTGCTTTCCCTTTTTAGTCATTCATATATATTATGACACGTATATTCAAACACATGTGTTGTGAACTCTCCAATCAACAGTTGGATATTGGGTGGCTTTAGTGGGCTATCCTTGATTTGCTTCGGGCATTATTCTATTATTGCGCCTATATTTATTAAAATAGATCTTAGAATCGTAAACACATTATTGCCTTTAATCGACTTATACATCATTAAACTATGGTTTTTTAGACTACCGTTTAATTCTTTCATTGATTTGCAGTCTGATATGAACTTGTTTCAATGCTCTATGTAAAGATTAGTCTGCTGATTCGAAGCGAACAATATATTAAGCTTTTCCATTACTTGGAAGTATCATGTATTTAGTTTCAGAATACTTTATTCTAAAACTCAGTTTATAAGCTTAGTTTTTTTGTTTTTATATACGTAATTTTGGAGAATTTCATTTAACAGGGCTATATATAACGTATTGCCACAAATAGAGGTGGCTATTGCTATGAAAAATCCTTTTTTTGGTATCATTACTCGGTGTTATATTGTATTAGTTTTGTTTGACATCGGGTTAGCTTCAACTGACCCTGTTCAGTTGATTTTGTATGTTAAAAATTATTTTTCCTAACAAAAGTAATATTTTTTGTTTTGTGCAAACGTTATAAAGCGATCGTCCATATTTAGCTGATATGACCCCGTGGGAATTTTCTGTCTCGATGATAAAATTACCGATTCGAGGAAGGCACATCAAGTTAATTGTGGCTATAAAAAACGAGTATATATGACTTTGTCTGATTCAGTCTCAGAACAATATGTAGAGAATACGGTTAAGAACTGACAAAGTTGTGTTGCACTGAATTTGGCAATTTTTATTTACTTTGGCACTAAGAAGTATTAAAATATCTAGACCGTACATATTAGGGATATTGAATGATTTATGGCCCTTTGGCGAGTGGCGTTCAAGGACAAAATATGTTCCTATAAATCAGATAATAACTTTTTTGATTATATTTTTACTTCGATTGAAATAAATGTTATGACAATACATTAGTATATCTATAGTTATTACTGTTGCTATACAAACATTTTTGGCTGAAAGTTTATTTATTGTTTAACTGTTTATATAACATAATATATAACTGTATTAACAAAATTGAATAATATATATGACTGCATGTCTTTTAGTTCCAGTTTATTTTCTTCTTCTCAGGAGATGCGGTAGGTCTATGGAAATTAAATTAAATTATTTGTATTACAATTTTGAAAGATATGTATTCTTATAATACCTGCCTATAGAAACACAAAAAAATTTAATTTGGTATTAACATGGAAGTTTTATATAATTAAAGCAGAAGTACACTAACCTGTTAAGTCTATGAACTAAACAGGTTCGCTAGGTTAGTTAACAAACAGATCGTAAAGACTTTAAATCTACTCCTATCGCCAATGATGGGCACTGACACGTGTTGAATCACAACCGTTACAAAAGTCTTTAAGGGTAGATCAAGCCTGCATGTCTGTCAACATCGATATTATAGCAATGGGTTGACTTCGCTAATTTTGAAGCAAGTTATTGTCACGTATTTTTCCCAGTTTATGGTAGATAAGAAATTACAACAGTACTTGAGCCCTATTTCAAGAGGTAAATAATTACTTCACATTAAGAAGAAGGAAGGGAGAATTGTGCTGTGTGCTGAATTATAGCAATAGCTTTCTAAACATCAAGAAATAGTAAAATATTAATATAAAAATATTAAGTTTATTAAAAATGTTAAAATATTTATTAAATGAAATATAAAGTTTATAGCTTTAATAGATATATTTATTTCAAAAGCTTAGAGAAGCAAAGAGATACGCTTATATAGTTATACAGGATCTTTGCCTATTGATTATTATAAACAAAAATTTGTTTCCAAAGCTTGAAAAGCGCTCTTAGTTGATAACATTGTTTAAAAGCCTCATACTAAAATCTTTGTTCAACATTAGGTTCGTTTAATCTGGTGTTATTCAACTGATCTTGTAGAAAAGAATTCTCGTCATTCTCATTTTATCCCTAACCGTCGTCACTAAGTCACATGATTAGACATCATTGGCAGAGTCGATTGTAGAAAAATCTATTGACAAGATCGAGCAGCCGGCACCCCCAGCAATAATAAATCTAACAGTAGAAATATAAAGATAATATGCGTTTTCTGTATTGGCTGATTGGCTGAACATAGATAAAGAAATATGCGAACGGTTTTAAACAAATTTTATTATAGGCTTTAATGGTTCTTTAAATCGTGCATGGGCGCATATATATTGGGCTTGGTACAAAGAGGGATTCTCTGTCACCAGATATAATAATGTTTGTCCTATGTTCAACAAGGATAAATGAAATCTATTTTGTACTTTGTTTTGTAAAGTTTAACGAATATGAATATGACCTATACTTGCTATACTTGTTGATTTGAAATATATGTAGAAATGCTTAATACATTCTGATAGGGAGTTAGGGTCAGTGTTACATAATATCGCTCTGTAGGAGTTTGGTCAACAAATAATTGAAATAAGAGGGTGCGAGTATTGCATCGGTTTTTGATTATAATTTGACAGTCAGTCGATTTGTGTGTCAGCAGTCAAAAAATTTATTGAGATCTGCAAAATGGTTCAATAATAATGGATAGAAATACTGTATTTAGCTTAAAAATTTCTATCTTTCTGCTATGAAACTGAATATAGTAATTATTTCAAGCTTCAGTAACGCAAAATTATTATTATTGTTTAAACTATTGCATTGAAAGACTACTACATATTTTGATGAGGAATGTTTTAGAACTCATACATTCTATATATTTATTGCTTTCAGTTAGATTTCGTTTAACTGCCGAAATATGTGCACATCTCTGTATTAATGTTGAACTTATTAGAAATACTACACTAGAAGCTTAGTGGATCCGCAAATACCTATGCTTTTAAAAATATAGAAAATCGTTGACACAGTTTTAGATTCAATTTAGCGATATTTACTTTGTCATCTGCGGTGAGAGGCCGAAAAGCAATAATATGAGTTTTAAATCTTTCTACTGATTGAATATTGAAATAAGTTATTAAATAAATAAATTGCAAAAAATATATAATATTTCTAATTAAAAGCTAATCATTTAGACTACAGATAAAATAAAATAAAACTTGCAGTCGAATTAGTTATAAATTATTGTATCTAGTTAATCTTAAGGATACTTACTGACAAATTTCTCTATCATCAGGATGTATAGAAAACATATGTTTTAGGCTTTGAGACTTGATATTTGCTCGATGTATGAACTAACTATGCATGAACTTTAAGGCTGTAAAATGTTATTGAATTAAAAATGTAACTTGACTTGTTAAAATATACTTACAATGTTTTAAACTAAAGAATCAAAAAGAAATTTAGAGATATTGAGTAAATTGCTTAATTTGGTTTTAATGTCGTATTGCCTGAAATGATATATTGAAATGTGTAATCTATCAGTGTGCACATATATAATATAAATAAGATCTAATTCAACTATAAATACTTACTTTGCACTAATCTTCATAAGATCTTTTCGATGGACCGTTTCTATTAAGTAAAACTGATAATCTTTCGCAATCCATAGTGGAATTGTTATCATATTCAGAATCGGAGCTGTCCGTTAAATCAGTCCATTCTTCTTCTTCCGGATATTTCTTGAGCTGCACCTGGAATACTCCATTTCTGTAGACGCTAACAGCACAGCATTTTTTCATTCGTCGTGAGCTTAGCTTTTTCTTCACAATTGATTTTTCGTGACTTGATTCCATCATCTTCGAATAACTTAGAATTTAAATTAAACAAAATGATGTGACAACAACGTTTTAAGTCTCAGCTCAATATTTAATTTAGTACATCGTGAAAAGAAAGTTGTTGCGGAAGAATTTGTTATTAATACGACCACAAAACATTGTGAAGAGAAATTCGATTCGCCCAAATGTATTTCTATTTAAATTTTAAAGGAATTTTAAACTCAGAAAAAAAGATCATTTAATATACATTTGAAAGCAATTTTAAAAATAGCTTGCTTATGTATTAGAAATTTTTTATTGTATATATTGGGTAGAATTTCTAACCTATAAATTATTTTATATTAAAAAGCTTTTTGGGAGTCGGTTTTACAATCAAGCAATCAATCAATCAGTCAATTTGACATATAGTAGATAAATCAATCTTTAGGATAGATATGCAATTGACAAATAATAACTGCAATTTCATGCTATTTGTTAGTTTTATTCTTATAATACTATCTTGATACCTTTTGGTTTTTTCTACATATAGAAAGCAATTTCTTTTGTGTCAATACGCTTATAAATCCACACAAAAATGTACTCCTATAAGAGAAAAATAATGTAATTTATTAATGAGTCATACTGTATCGAATAATGTGGGGCGGAAAGTTCCATGACATTTGACTCTAATTCTCTAGTGAGAAGACAATGATAATTTTAAATTTGACTTGAGCCTAGTACTATAAAACTTTTCACTGTCATTTGATGTCATCGGTAAATTATTCTGGACAGGGTTGCCCTATTGTTAAAAGTGCTGTTCGTGTGAGTTCGTGTGTTACAACTTAAGTCTTTAGTTCACTCTAAAGAAAAATCTACCGAATTGGTCTTGCATAACCTGACCTGCAAAATTGAAAAGGACCACAAAAACAAAATCGCACTTTGTGCATTTCTGGATATAGAAGGAGACTTCGATAATATGAGTTATGGCTCGATTACGAATGGTTTATCTAACAGGAATGTTGATTCCGATATTATTTCCTGGATTAAGGAGATGCTTCAAAACAGATAAATCACATCATTTACCAACTGTGACGTAATACTCATAAATGATTCAAAAACCATTTGCATCATTTATCTGTCGAATGTCGGTGTTTATAAGCATCGTATGAGAAGGATGTTAATCATTATACGTGCTGTTAGCTGTATGTATGAATCAGGTGGAGTCGAATATAAGAAAAAGAGAGTCAGAATGCTTATAAATGAAACAGTTTAATGATTAACTCTATTCACTTAATAATACACTCTACTAATAATTACAATAATACCACGTTTATATTAGGAACTATAGTGAACGAACTTTGCTAAAGTTAATTTCCAATCTTTACATTAACATTTCGGGTCTTCATTTTGATAATACCCTTTTTTTTAACATATTAATGAGCATGAAGCTAGAAATATTATAATAGAAATCTAGGTTGTTATTTATAAACAAATATTGAAAAATTTGTTTTTTTTTTATAAAGATAGCGATAAATAACACAAAAATAGAGAAGAATAATTTTGCGAAATTTAAAGTCTGAACTCGGGAAATTTCACGTTTTATAAAAAATTTCAATTTCTAAAGTATATTTTTTCATTTTTAAAAATTTATTTTTAAATAACAACCCAGTTTTCCACAGCAACGTTTTTAACTTGGCACCACGGTTGCCACTTGAAAATTTTTTTCTGTACCAAAATTGGTTTAAAAAGGTACCATTTCTGTAAAAAAAGGTCCAAAATTTTTCTATTGTCTTTTTATAAGAAAATATAATTTATATAAAATGTACAAAAAGTATAAAACAATACAATATCCACAATAAAGTTGGGTCGCCGAAAATGTACCATTTTGGAACATGAGTACCAGAGTACCAAACGGAAAAAAAAGTACCAATTTTGGTACTAAAGTACCATAAGTGGCAACCGTGCTTGGCACTAGGAATATATTATTCGAGCAATGAAAATGAAATGTCACATCGAAAATAAAAACGAAATGTCATTTCTCCATTTCCGTATCACAAAAACTTTTCGATAACGCATTATATCCAGCGTTGTATTCAAAAAATGGTGTTAAATGAAGCGAACTTACAGTAAAAGTTTGCATTTTGATGTGCCTATTTTTATATGATAAGGTCAGTTTTGGTAACTGATTTTGCGCTCAAAGTCGATTTCCACCAGCAAAGTTCGTAATGTAAACACGGTATAAGCGTGTTTATTACTACTACTAATACTACTACTACTACTACTACTACTACTACTACTACTACTACTACTACTACTACTACTAAATACTATCTTTCTTTTTTTTTTTTTTTGCAGTATGTGGTAGCATCGAAAGCCACCTTGTAAGACTTAAACCTACGGAACCCACTTCATTCCACAAGAGTCACGTTATATAAGGGGATGAGGAAGGGTTCTGAGTCTCACTCATCAAGATAAAGGGAGATGATAAAGAGAGATTTCCTTCAATTCAGTGAAAATTTTTAATCTTTTACGCTTATCTACAATCTCTTAACAGTAGGTCTATTTTCATAAACAAAATTAAGCAGAAGAGCAGAAGAATACATAGTAAAGACTTTATATTGCTTGTAAATGTATTGGATCACAAAATCAGTTAAAATTAATAGAAAAATGAATAGTTTATATAAATTAATTGAATAATATACATATTATACAATTTATTTAATTTCGTAATTATTTACATATTAATACAGTTATCATCGTTATATTCTAATTAATATTATATCTGAAATATAATATTAGATTCATATACTAATTAACAAAAAAGATAATAAAATTATATGTAAACATATTTATATATTTATATTAATCTAAATAACAAGATTGAGTTTGTAATTCACTCATTGCATTAGCTTTGATGAAATTCAAACTGGTACAGATATACTATTTATGCCTGAAACTCTCCATATGTAAAATCTAAAGCCCTTTCATTCTGTCGTCTCAAATATCTGAACGAAATACCTTGCGCCAAATTTAGTTATATATATAAATATATATATATATATATATATATATATACGTATATATATATATATATTTAATGTATATAATGAAATTTTTGTATTTTTATAAACACAATAACAAAAAAAATAGTGATATTTAGCAATTTTTCTGCGAATTGTTCGATATTTTCTTTCTTTTGAAATTACCAGAAAAAGCCTCGTATGACTTTGTTCTGTTCCTGAAGTTTCAACTAATGATATAACCATTATATTTGGAGTGAAAATTTCGAAACTCACTGCAGAAGTTGTAGGCTAAACCTTACTTAGGTTATGAAATATCTACATCATCTGCATCAGATATAAGTTTCAGCCGTCATTTTTAAAAGATATTCATTTCAAAATAAAATAGATCAGTAATCACTAAATCCGTAATCAAGCTAAATATATTTTCAGCTAAATATATAAGCTTTAATAAAATTTTATTTACAGTAACTAAAAATGCTATATAGGTATGACATTATAATGTATGAGTATATAATGTATATGATAGATTCAAAAGTTTCCTGTCGCTTTATCAATAAAAACGCTTAGCAGCCCTTATCACCACGAAATGTGAATAGCTATTGAAAATAGCTATAAACTATAAAATAGCTAAAATAATTCTTATTTGTTCTGTTCCTGAAGTTAAAACTACTAATTTAAGAATAGTGTTTTAATTCGATTGTTTCGAAGAAGAAAATTCACAGCAGATAAAGATAAATTGTGAATACTAATATACTTCTGTCTCACAAACCGATATAATTTGTAAGTTAAAATTTAAATTATTTTTTTACGATATTATTTAAAAATGAAGTATAGTATAATACACAATGAACGATTAATATACAATCACTGGATACAGTAGCTAGTGATAATCACTGTAGTTCAACCCTATTGAATATATCAGACAGTATCTGTCTAATATGCTACTGAAATGCATTTGTTGACTGTATATTCGCTACTGCGGTGCAAATACTGTAAACAGCGACTGTAGCTTAATCGTGCATTAGGCATAAAGTTCATAGATTCATTTTACACACGTTTAATTTATTAAAATTTTAATATCGAGATAATGTCTTTACATGACATAGTTTTACACTTATATCATTGATGATAAATTTTTAATTCTTATTTATTCGATGATTTCTTTCTGGGTTGCATCATCATAAAATGCAATAAATTTCACAAACATTTCTGTTCTTTGTACACCTTCTGGAGTTTCCTTATACTCCTTTATCCAATTAATCAATTTCTCCTCATTTTCTTTTTCTTCTGAACTTAGTGAATTCACAAAGTCATCAAGTCGTTTAAAAAGATGTTTTTCGAATTTCTCATATTCTTTCGCACCATCATCTTTAAATTTTGTCAAGCCATTCTTTTGCAAAGCTAAAGAGAAAATGACAACCTCTTCCGTTGGATTAGTCACTTTTGTTATATTATATGTGTCCACAATTTCTATATATCTAAGTGCAAATTGCATGATGTTGAAATTATCGATGGTTTGTTTAATTGTTTTCATTTCTTCAGCTTTTTGAACAAAATCGATGAAATCTGCTTTTCTCTCGTTAATAGCATCAGTGTTTAATATTTCCAAAAATGGTTCTTTTAATAATTTTTTGAAAATTTTTAAACCTTCACGTACAACAAATTTAGTAAATACTCCAAAATCACTTATAATTTCAATGAAAAGTTTGTTTCTCTTAGTTAACTGATCTTTTTCCTCAAGACGTTTTTCCAGAAAATCCTTTATTTGCTTCCTAACATCCTCCAAACTATTTTCTTCGTCGCTTTCAGAAGAACTAGAGTCTTTGCTGGGTTTTGCTACGATTACCTGAAAATTTCAAAATAAATAAGTTTACAATATAAGTTAGGAATCATTTCTATATAGCGATTTACTTGGACTAGTAGAAATACGCCTAATACTAGTACTAATGACCTTGTTCGCATCTTGTTAATCTTTGTTGCAATTCTCTCAAAGTGTATACTGGACTATTCACCAAGCGTTACTGTGAGCTGTGCATATCTGTTCTGTACTTTATATTCATAAACATACACAAATTTTAGCCGAGGCTGTGTTATCAGCAGTTGTGCTATTTTAAGTCAATTAGGTACTTTCAAAACCTCGTCATTTAGTGTTATTTTAGCATTGAAAAATAATTTTTAAAGTTTTTATAAACATTGACGTTTTTAGAAATCATTTTAATTTACTTTATACCGTAATCCATCTTAGGTAGGGTTGGTACTTAGAGATTTCTTTACAATAAT